AGGTATTTTATTCTTTCTGAAGCAATAGTGAATAGGACTGTTCTCTTAATTTCCCTTTCTGGTAGTATGTTATTGGCATATAAAAATGTAACTGATTTCTGAATATTAATTTCATATTCTGCTACTTTGCTGAATTCAGTTATTCTAGTAGTTTTTAGTAGAATCTTTGGGGTTCTCTATGTACAGTATCATGTCATCTGCAAATAAAGGCAGTTTTACTTCTTTCTTTCCAATTTGGATGTCTTATTTCTTTTTCTTGTCTGATAGCTGTGGCCAAAATCATAAAAATCCTAGAAGAAAACATAGACAGCAAAATCTAGGACATTGTTCATAGAAATTGTTTAGTGGATATATCTCCCTAGACAAGGGAAACAAAAGAAAAAATCAACAACTGGGACTTAATCAAACTAAAAAATTTTTGCACAGCAAAAGGAAATCATCAACAAAATAAAAAAGACAACCCACAGAATGGAACTACATATTCGCTAATGCATCTGTAAAGGGGTTAATATCCAAAATTATAAAGTACTTACAAAACTCAACAGCAAGCCTTGGCTGGTATGGCTCAGTGGATTGATTGCCAGCCTGTGAATCAAGGGTTCATCAGTTCAATTCCCAGTCAGGGCACATGCCTGGGTTTCTGGCCAGGTCCCCAGTAGTGTCCACTACTGGGCACATGCCTGTGGTTGCCACACAAGAGGCAACCACACATTTATGTTTCTCTCCCTCTCTTTCTTCTTCCATTCCCCTCTGTCTAAAATTAAAATCTTAAGAAAACACTCAACACCAAAAAAAAAACAAACAACATAATTAAAAAATGTGGAAAGGACCTTAATAGAGAGGTCTCCAAAGAGGACATACAGGTGGCCATTAGACATATCAAAAGACACTGAACGTCACTAATCATCAGAGAAATGCAATTGAAAACTGCAATGAGATACCCTCTCACACCTGTTAGAAAGGCTATCATCAATAAGTCAAAAAACAAGTGCTGGTGAGGGTGTGGAGAAAGGAGAACTCTTTAGCATTGTTGGTGGGAATGCAGACTGGTGCAGCCACTGTAGAAAGCAGTATGGAAATACCTCAATAAGTTAAAAATGGGCATGCCTTTTGACCCACCAATCCCATTTTGGGGATTATATCCGAAGGAACCCAAACACTAATTCCAAACAACATAAGCACCCCTATGTTCATTGCAGCATTATTTACAATCGCCAAGCTATGGAAGCAGCCCAAGTGTCCATCAATAGATGAGTGGATACAACAATTATGGGACATTTACACAATGGAATTCTAGTTGGCCATAAAAAAGAAAATTTTACTCTTTGAAACAGTATGGATAGACCTGGAGAACATTATGCTAAGTGAAATAAGCCCGTGAGAGAAAGACAAATACCGTATGATTTTACTCTTATGTGGAATCTAATTAACAAATGAAACTAACAAGCAAAACAGAGGCAGACTCATAGATGGAGAACAGATGATAACTAGTGAGGGATGAGGCTATGGGGTGGAAGGATTGAGCAAAAATGAAAAAGGACTCATGGACATGAAAAACAGGGTGGTGATTGCTGGGGGAGGGGGGTTAGGGCACTAAATGGTAATGGAAAAAATATAATAAATATTATTTTAAATAGGAAAAAAGTGCATCTAGAATAAAATTACAATAATCTTGAAATTTTTTATTATTTTCATTATAATGGGAATGAGTTAATTATTAAAGCTTTTAAATGAGTTTGTTGGGCTGACATTGGTTGACAGAAACACAGGCAAGTGTACATCTCAACAAAACATGATCTGCATACCGCATCATGTGACAATCACCCAAAATCAAGTCTCTTTTTGTCCACATTTATCCCCTTTTTGCCCCTTTTTACCCCCCCACCCGCTTTCCCTCTGGCTATCACCCTACTGTCTATGTGTTTTATACATATTTTGCTCAATACTTCACCTTTTCTTCACCCAGCCTTCCAACCCACCTCCCCTCTCACAGCTATCAGTCTGTTCTATGTTTATTTAATGCACTGTTCATTGCTGTAATAATAGTGGCATAGTACTCATCTTCTTCCTGACTTTAATGATTTGAGAATTTTCCTATTAAGTACAGTGTTTTTGTTTAAGTTCTACTGTACTTTATTTCTCAAGTTAAATGTGAATGTTTGTCTAGTCCCATTTTATAAAGTTTTTTTTAATAGAAAACATGCTGAGTTTTATCATCTCTTTAATATCTCTGGATATTATTTTTCACTTTTGACCAATTTACTTATGGTAAATGAATTTTTCTAATGTTGAGACATGCTTATATTCCTGAAAAAAAAATCTGTTCATATATGATATATCTTATATTTAATGTACTTTCTGGGTCCCTTTATTTTTCTTCTAGGTCATTGTGATATTTTATGTAGAATTTCGATGTTGATATTCCTGGGTCAAATTGGCATATAATTTGCTTTCTTTGGTCATCATCTTTGTCAGGTTTTGGTATTAATATTGCTTGTTTCTCTCTCTCTCTCTCTCTCTCTCTCTCTCTCTCTCTCTCTCTCTCACACACACACACACACACACACAGAGGAAATTCTACTCTTTTTTCTTTTGTAACATTTTTGCACAGCATTATTGCTCTCTTAAATGTTTGTTAAAATTCTTTGTGAATCTCTATTTGTTTTGTTTTTAAGGGATTTCTTTTTATGTTTTTCTATTTATTTCATGGAAGTCAGCCTACTAGATTTTCTATATATGTTATTTTTTAAGTATATTTTATTGGTTATGCTATTACCAGTAGTCCCAATTTTTGTCCCCATAATCCCCCCACTGCCCTGCACCCTCCCCACCCTCCAGATTTCCCCCCTCACCTTAGTTCATGTCCATGGGTTGTACATATAAGTTCTTAAGCTTTTCTATTTCCTATACTGTTCTTAAACTCCCCCTGTCTATTTTATGCCTACCAGTTATGCTTCTTATTCTGCGTACCTTTTACACCCCACCCATTCTCTCCCTCTTCCTCCTCACTGATAACCCTCCATGCAATCTTCACTTCTGTGATTTTGTTACTGTTTGAGTTGTTTGCTTAGTTTTTTGTTGTTCTTTTTTTAGGTACAGTTGTTGATAGCTGTGAGTTTGTTGTCATTTTACTGTTCATAGTTTTTGATCTTCTCTTTCTTAGATAAACCCCTTTAGCATTTCATATAATAAGGGCTTGGTGATGATGAACTCCTTGAACTTTACCTTATCTGGGAAACACTTTATCTTCCCTTCCATTCTAAATGATAGCTTTGCTGGGTAGAGTAATCTTGGATGTAGGTCCTTGCCTTTCATGACTTTGAATACTTCTTTCCAACCTCTTCTTGCCTGTAAGGTTTCTTTTGAGAACTCAGCTGATAGTCTGTGGAAACTCCTTTGTAGGTAACTTTCCTCTTGCTCCTTTTAAGATTCTCTCCTTATTTTAATCTTGGGTAATGTAATTATGTTGTGTTCTTCCTTGGGTCCGTTTTCTTTGGGACTCTCTGGGCTTCCTGGATGTCCCGGACGTCTGTTTCCTTCACCAGATTGGGGGAGTTTTCCCAATTATTTCAAATAAGTTTTTCAAATAAGTTTTAAATTTATTGCTCTTCCTCTTTTCCTTCTGGTGCCCCTATTATTCGGATGTTGGAGCACTTAAAGTTGTCCTAGGGGTTCTCCTCATTATTTTGAATTCTTGTTTCTTCATTCTGTTCTGGTTGGATGTTTATTTCTTCCTTCTGTTCCAAATCATTAATTTGAGTCCCTGTTTCCTCCCTTTCACTGTATATTTTCCTTTTTTTCACTTTGTATAGCCTTCATTTCTTCCTTCATTTTGCAACCAAGCTCACTCAATCCTGTGAGCATCCTGATTACCAGTGTTTTGAACTTTGCATCAGATAGGTTGTCTATCTCCTCATCACTTAGTTCTTTTTCTGGAGTGTTGATATGTTCTTTCATTTGGGCCATATTTCTTTGTCTCGGCACACCTGTTCTGTTGTAAGGGGTGGAGCCTTAGGTATTCACCTGGGAAGGGCAACCCTCTTTGCTGTGCTGTGGCATTATCTGTGAGGGAGGGGTCAAAGTGGGCACAATGCCGCTTGCTCTGCTCTAGCCCCACTTTCCGTCACTTCCCTTGCTTCTCACAAGCAGAGTGTACCCTTTCAGGTGCTGATTCCCTGGGAGGGTGGATTTGTGTATATTCTGGAATCCTGTAGGCCTCTCCAACAGACTCTCCTATGAGACTGAGTTTCTCTTGTGTTCACAACCCCCACAGGATTTTACAGCTTGAGGTTTATGAGTTTATAATTTCCCAGTCAGCCAGCCCCAGCCTCCCCTGCACTGTCCACTGCCTTGCGGTTGGTCCTCTCTGCCCGTTGCCCGGCTCCGCCCCTCCTACTGATCTGGATGAATGTTTCTTTAACTCCTTGGTTGTCAGAGTTCCATGCAGCTTCATTTTCTGACAGTTCTTGTTTATTGTTTTTAAATCGGTTGTTACCCTTCTTTTGGTTGTGTGAAGAAGCGAAGCATTTCTACCTACACCTTCATCTTGGCCAGAACCCCCAATTTTCTATATCTTTTAGAGTCAGTTTGATGATTTACATTTTCCAGAAAAATTATTCATGTCAGTTTATAATAATGTGTTTCAATAGAGTCCTGCAAAATTTATTATATAACTTCCTTTTTTTCTTTATTATTTCTTCTTACTTTATTTGTAAATTCTGCATTACTTTTATTTTATCAACAGTTAATTTTCTCTCAGATCCCATTTAGAAGCAATCAAGTCTATTTGTATACATAAATGTCTGCCACCACTCATATTTACCTTCCTCAAATTTTCTAAACCTTAGAAAATAACAGGTATGTGTACCTGAAATTTGCTTAATAGTGGGAAATTAGGCCTTAAGCCATGAATCAATCCTATAATAGCATGTTTTGAAATATTCTTGCTATTATAACATTGGGAGAATTTACAATTAATATTTATTTGCAATCTGTTTTAGGAGAAATGTGGAGAATTGATGACCATCAGAATATACAGGACAGACTTTTGACACAATTTGAAGATAAGTTTATAAAAACACTGATGGAAGAAAAATTCAGAGAATATCATAAAAAAACTTCTTATACATTTTCTCCAAACTCAGACATTTTTTCTTCTAGTCACAACCTTTATGACTATAACTTATTTGGAAAATGTTTAGAACATAATTTTGACTGTCATAATAACGAGAGAATTCTTATAAGAAAGGAATACTGTGACTATAATGAATCTATCAAGTCATCTGGCAATAGCTCATTAAATCTCGCAGTAATCCCTTTTATGTGTAATCATTGTGGAAAAGGATTTAGTCAAACTTCGGATCTCATCAGACACCTGAGAATTCATAGTGGAGAGAAACCCTATGAATGCAAAAAATGTAGAAAAGCCTTTACCCATAAAGAAAAACTCCTAAAACATCAGAAAATTCACAATAGGGAACAATCTTATGAATGTAGTAAGTGTGGGAAAGCTTTCATTAAAGTGTCAAATCTCATTAGACATCAAAGAATTCATACTGGAGAGAAACCCTATGCATGTAAGGAATGTGGAAAATTCTTCAGTCAGAAATCAAATCTCATTGATCATGAAAAAATTCACACTGGAGAGAAACCTTATGAATGTGATGCATGCAGAAAAGCATTCAGCCAGAAGCAAAGCCTCGTTGCACATCAGAAAGTTCATACCGGGGAGAAACCTTATGCATGTAATGAATGTGGTAAAGCTTTCCCTCGAATTGCATCCCTTGCTCTTCATACGAGAAGTCATACAGGAGAAAAACCTTATAAGTGTGATAAATGTGGAAAAGCCTTCTCTCAGTTTTCCATGCTTATTATACATATGAGAATTCATACAGGTGAGAAACCCTATGAATGTAATGAATGTGGAAAATCCTTCTCTCAAAGCTCAGCCCTTACTGTACATATGAGAAGTCATACTGGTGAGAAACCCTATGAGTGTAAGGAATGCGGAAAAGCCTTCAGCCACAAAAAAAACTTCATTACACACCAAAAGATTCATACTAGAGAGAAACCTTATGAGTGTAATGAATGTGGGAAAGCATTTATTCAGATGTCAAATCTTGTTAGACACCAGAGAATTCACACTGGAGAAAAACCCTATGTATGTAAGGAATGTGCCAAAGCCTTTAGCCAGAAATCAAATCTCATTGCTCATGAAAAAATTCATTCTGGAGAGAAACCCTATGAATGTAATGAATGTGGTAAAGCCTTCAGCCAAAAACAAAACTTTATTACACATCAGAAAGTTCACACTGGAGAGAAACCTTATGATTGCAATAAATGTGGTAAAGCCTTTTCTCAAATTGCATCCCTTACTCTTCACCTGAGAAGTCACACAGGGGAAAAGCCCTATGAATGTGATAAATGTGGGAAATCCTTCTCTCAGTGTTCATTGCTTAATTTACATATGCGAAGTCATACAGGTGAGAAGCCTTATGTATGTAATGAATGTGGAAAAGCTTTTTCTCAAAGAACTTCCCTTATTGTGCATATGAGAGGTCATACTGGTGAGAAACCCTATGAATGTAATAAATGTGGAAAAGCCTTCTCTCAAAGCTCATCCCTTACCATACATATACGAGGTCATACAGGTGAGAAACCCTTTGACTGCAGTAAATGTGGAAAAGCCTTCTCTCAAATCTCGTCTCTTACACTTCATATGAGAAAACATACAGGTGAAAAGCCTTATCATTGTAATGAGTGTGGTAAGGCTTTCAGTCAAAAGTCACATCTTATTAGACACCAGAAAATTCATACTTATTAGAAATAGGAGCCCTATGAATATTGTGAATATGGAAAAACCTTCAGAAAGAATTAACACCTCCTTGCATATTACATAATTGATTGTAGAGCAGAAAACTATGAATATGGGAAAGCTTTTGAAGAAGTCACACACTTGTGAAACATGAGAATTATTACCAAGGTTACAAATTGTGTAATGAAAAAGCTGCTCATCAAAAACTTCTAGCAGATATCTTATTTATTGCTCTTTATTTGTCATTCTCATTAAAGCCTGAAACAAGATATTTTCAGTCAGCTTATCAACATGATACTTGAGCTCCTTGCCAATGTATTGTCAAGAAAAAGATTAGAAGAAAAAAGAAACTATATAAACTTTTATATGAGAAATAATTAGAAAATGTGTTGACATCTAAGAATAGACACAAGAGTATATATCACATTTTGAAGAGCATAAAAGAATACTAAAAATTTAGAAAAATAGCATGGAAAAGACTGGGCATTATAAACAATATTGTTTTCACAAATCACTGAAATACTTGTACTTACAATCAGTGTTTTCATTAGTTATTTAAGAATTTTACAAACATTCAAAATTTTATAGTGGCATGTAAAGTACTGCAAATAGCTGAAGAAAATGTGAAAAACAAAAAAAAGAAGACAGTCTACTAGATATCACATACTTTAAAGCTGCATCATTTAAACAACGTGTTATTGATGAGTAAATCAATAGAAACAAGTTGAGGATTGAAGGATAGAGATATGTGGATTTTGTAAGGAGAAAGGATTGGCTATTTGATAAATGGAAGATTCATAATAACAAAAAACAGCTCCCTACACCATATAGAAAAATAAAATTCATATAGATTAAAGAACAACATAAAAAGCAAAATTCTAAAACTATGATGAAAATAGAATATATTTATTACTTTAGAGTAACAGGATTTAAACAAACATAAATATGAAACAATTCTATTTTGGTGTATTGATTTCAGAGGCATTCAAGTATGTGTACAAAGAGATATATATGTGTGTTCACTGTGTTATATTGTGATGTATTGTCTTTATAGCACCCACATATATGCACAAAAAATGTGTTCACTGTATTATGCTTTGTATTACTGTATATTGGGCATCGCATAGATTTCTATGGGATAGAGATCAATTTGATGTGATTATTTCTTTGATATAATACAGTATTTACAGAATACAAATTTGGCAGTTACATGGGTAGTTTACAAGATAATAGGAGTAAAAAACAAAGTATACAATAAAATGACAATATTTGTATCAATATATTAAAATAATACAAAGAATAGTACTGTGTATTAACCATGGATCCATATATTACCATGGATTCTACTTTTAGGGAGTGGTGAAGGTATGGAGGGAGTAGTTACATTTACCAGTAGTAGTACTGAAAGAATGAAAGCAAATATGACAGGGGTAACAAATCTGGTTGTCAAAATTGTGCTTTTTTTTGTATTCTTTCTTGCCTTTGTTTATTACCTATTGTTCCAAAAAAGAAATCAAGTTGGTACAAGAAACCTGGACCCATATAAATAATTTTAAGTGGATTCTTATTTTTAGCCATATATTACAGAGAATTCTTTCCTAACACACAAACCAAACCTGAATTAAAATAATGCTTTGCTTAGTGTGTCCTCATAATGTTAATTAGGATAATAAAAATCAGCAGTATATTGCATTTGTGGCCAGCTATTTTTCAATTTAATGTTTTTTCAAATTCTATTTTTTCCTAGTTGAAAGTAGTAAAATAGCTAAAGAAATATTCAATATTTTGGATAATGGACATTCCTTTTGGGAAAATAATTGCCTGCATCTGGGCTGGTTTCAGATTGAGGGGAAGACATCATCCATGTATACTATAACAAGTTAGTTTTTTAACAAGTCAAGCCCAAGGATAGTAACTCACATCAGAGAAGAAGCAATTTCAATGTATCTAAAAAGGTTGAATGGGGCAGGGGAGAACAAGGGGAGAAAAATGGGAACAATTGTAACTGAACAACAATAAAAAATAAAATAACAAAATAAGGTTTCTTTGGTTTCTGGATCCTTAAATGAGGATGCAGATTCTGGTGATTTTATATAAGTCAGGTAAGGGCCCCGTGGATGTGAAATGTCACTACCACAGCTGTTTTATAATATACTGAGGACTTTCAGATATTTTTGGTATCAAATTTCCTTTTATGTGAGTAGCCCATTGATATATTTTATTTTTTTTTTCTTCTGGGACTTTAAAAATGTTTATATGTAAGTGTAGATTTATAGGAAGTTAAAGATATAATATTCTATAGTACTATTGAGTTGGTGTACCTTACATCCAGTTTTCTCTACTGGTAACATCTTGTATAACTATAGTACAGTATCAACTTTGACACTGGAATGATCCACAGGTCTTATCGTATTTCACTAGTTTTACATGCACTTGTGTGTGTGTGTCCATGTAATGCTATATAATTTTACCTTATGAAATTTGTGTAACTACACCACAATCAAAATAGAGAACTTCCAGCACCATAAAGATCCCTTGTTCTATCCCTTTGTAGTCACATCCATCCTTTCTCTGCTTCCTGTTCCTAAACCTTGGCAACCACTAATCTATTCCCAATCATTTTTGTCATATAGAGTGTCTTAAATGTAATTATACACTATATAACTATATAACCTTCTGAGATAGGCTTTTTTAAACTCAGCATAATTTCCTTGAGATAAATCCCAGTTTTTCAAGTACAACCATTTGTTCCTCTGTAGAGGGGGTTATTTTTAAATTTTCTATGGTATGAATAATTTACCATGGTTTCTTTAACCATTTAGCCACCGAGTGAAATTTGGGTTGTTTCCATTTTGAGGTTATTACAAATAACACTGCTATAATCATTCGTCCAACAATGTCACTTCTGAAAATATATCCACAGGAAACAAACAAAACTATGTGGGAGAAATAACTGCACCTCCATGTTCATAGTAGCATTATTTATATAATAATCAAGAAATGGAAACAAACTAAGTATCCAATGAATGAATGGATAGAGAAGATTGGATATAGTAAAATATTATTCAGCTGTAAAAAGAAGGAAATTATGCCATTTCCTGATATGGATGGACCTTGAGGGCATTATGTAAAGTGAAAAAAAATAGAGAAAAGCAAATATTGTATAATATCACTTATATGTGGAACTAAAAAACAATGACAAGTAAAAAAAAGGAAAAAAGCTCAGGAAAAAAGATCAGATTCATGCTTACCAGAAGTAAGAATAAAGGAGGGTAATTGGATGAAGGTGGTCAAAATATACCAACTTCTACTTATAAGATAAATAAGTACTAGGGATGTAATGTACATCATGATAACTACAGTTTGCACTGCTATATGGAAATGTTCTTAAAAGAGTAGACTCTAAGAGTCCTCATTACAAACATTTTTCTCTATTTCTTTTGTACCTACATGAGCTGATGAATGTTAACAAAACATGTTGTGATAACCATTTCACGATTTGTATAATTAAAGTCATTATGTTGTACACCTTAAAAATATACAGTGCTGTATGTTAATTATATCTCAATAAAACTGAAGAGAGAAAATTCTAGTTCTCCAGTTAATAATCCAAGTAGGTATAGACATTTTCAGTAGATATATCAAAGTTTTTTATTTTTATTAAATTTATTGGGGTGACATTGGTTAATAAAATTATATATGTTTCAACTGTACTATTCTAAACATATGATCTTTACATTGAATTTTGTGTTCACCACCCAGATCAAATCTTTTTTTACCATATATTTGACCCCTTTACCCTTTATTATACCTACACCCTTCTATCCTCTGGTAACCACCATACTATCTGTTTCTGAGTTTTTTTATTCTTCTTGTTTGTTCATTTGTTGCCTTCAGTTTACTGTCTCACATATGAGTAAAATCATATGGTTCTTAACTTTTTTGGTCTTTCTATTAGTGAGCATAGTATACACTGCTATATATTTGTATCCTATATAATTTCTTCAGGGTCTTATAATTTTTATATTTAATTTTATTTCTATTACCAATTTTATTGGGGTTACACTGGTTAATAAAATTATATAAATTTCAGGTGTACAATTCCATAATATTACATCTATATATCATATTGCGTGTTCACCACCCAAAGTCCCCTATTGTCACCATTTATCCCTTCCTTACACTCTCTCCCTTCCCCTTCACACCTTTCTCTCTGATAATCATCATACTGTGGTCTGCATCTGTGAGGTTTTTTCCCTCAAATGCTTCACCTTTTTCACTCAACCCCCAAACCCACCACCTCTCTTACAGCTCTCAGTCTGTTCTCTGTGTCTATGAGTTTGTTTGTTAATGTATTCATTAGATTTCAGATATAAGTGAGATCATAATGGTATTTGTCTTTCTCTGATTGGCATAATACCTTCCAGGCCTATCCATGCTGTCACAAAAAGTAAGATTTCCTTTTTTTTTTTTTTTTTTTTTGTAACAGTATTACAGCTTTTTTGCTCACTGATCTACTGATAGGCACTTGGGCTGCTTTGAAAGCTTGGATATTATAAATAGTACTTCAATGAACATAGGAGTGCATATATGAATTAATGTTTTCATGTTTCTTTGGATATATTCCCAGAAGTGAAGTTGCTGGGTCATAGGGCAGCTACATTTTTTTAAAATTTTTTTTGAGGAAATTATACTGTTTTCCATAGTGGCTGCACCAATCTACATTCCCACAACAGTGCATAAGGGTTTCCTTTTCTCCACATCCTCACCAAAATTTGTTTGTCGACCTAATAATGACAGCCATTCTGATAGGTGTGAACTAATTTTATTGTGGTTTTAATTTGAATTTCTATTCAAAGTGATGTTGAGCATCTCTTCATATGTCTAATGGCCATCTGTATGTTGTCTTTGGAGCAGTGTCTATTTAGGTTAATTAGATTGTTTATTTCTTTTGCTATTGAGTTGTAAAAGTTTTTAAAAATATTTTTGAATATTAACCCCTTATCATGTATCATTAGCAAATATGTTCTCCCATTCAGTGCATCATCTTTTCATTTTGTTAATGGATTCTTTACTGTGCCAAATCTTTTTAGTTTAATATGTTCCTGTTATTTATTTTTTCTTTTGTTTCACTTGCCTGAGAAGATATATCAGAAAAAAACATTGCTATGAAGAATGTCCACGATTTACTACCTATGTTTTCTTCTAGAACTTCTATAGTTTTGGCTTTACATTTTTAAGTCTTTAATTTATTTTGATTTTATTCTTGAGTATAGAGTAAGAAGATGGTCTAGTTTCATTTTATGCACATATCTGTCCAATTTTCACAACACCATTTATTGAATAAACTGTTCTACCCCATTGTATGTTCT